TATTTAAACCGTCTTTTTGCATTTTAATATTTACAGACACTAGTTCATATCGCGATTCGAATTAAGTGGCAGACCTACTTTTGATTTATTCGTCCAAAACAGACGAATTCCGTGGCATTCCGTGCTATAGAGTAAATTAAATTTTTATGAATGGACTCCACGATCCCATCCGCGTTTTCGCAGAAACCATATGGCCCTAGAAATGTAACCACACTTCACAACATTTCGGCTTGCCCCGTGTGTTGTTTGAACGAGTTGCAGGGGTGACCTCATGTCACAGGGTCTCTCTTTCTCTCTCTGTAGCGTATGCGCCCAGATGCGTTCTCAGGTACCGAAATTTAGCACCAATTGATTTAACGTGAATCGGTACTCTGTAGTACCAACGCAATTCGGTCGGTACCCTTAAAAGTACAGAGTTCGGTACCCAACCCTACTAATGATTTATATCACGTCCAATTCTATTGTCATACTTCAAATGGAAGGTCAAGTCAAGTGCAATGCATTGTGGTATCTCACTCACTGTGCTCTGGTTGTGTACTGTACATCCTAGTAGGTCATCTGGGTGTTTTGTGCATACTGCTAAAAAGTATGAGTAATATGTTATTCTCAACATACCCATAATCTCTCGCCATTTTCTTTGAATTTCACTGAACTGAGATGAATGTTCATGCTCAAGTCTGGTCTGTGATCATTAATGTGTTTAGTCCTTTCTCTCTGCATATACTCTCATTTAATGGCTCGGTTGTTGCAATTATTACCCTGTTTGTGCCTCTCCGAGAGTCTCCCAGTTGGATTCCTTGCATTTCCGGCCTAAAAATACTCAAATCTGCAGCGTCTGCAATCCTTTAAGCACTTGATTTATAAATGAAAGCAATCACACTTAGAATGATGAGTGTGAAAACACTGTTGCTAATCATTACTTATGTGTGCAATTACAGTTGGCTGTGTGATTTGTTTATTTTAGGTGTGATCTCTCACCATGAACCTCTTCCAGTTACTGTCTCTCACTTTAATGTCCACTCCGTAGAGCGCCATCCGCTCAAATAACGTTATCAAATAAACTAATTTGTCCTCTGAATCACCTCTCTGCTCCGTGTTTGTCTTAACATAATTTTAAGCTAATATTTATCCCAGAATATGTTAACGCATTCCATTACAGTCTTAAGAGGACGGCGTCCTTGAAAATACATGACTTTGCTCTGTCCAGTAATCACAGAGGATATCAAATGAATCAGGAAGCAGCTTGTAAGGTCCTGCTTGTGCATTTGTGTGTCTCTGACAGGGCGGTTGAACAGTGGCAGCCCCTCCACCCCCCTCATCTCGTCCCCCCATACCCCCACTGATGGACCGCATGAGGAAGATCAAACGGCAGCTGTCCCTGACGCTGCGAGGGGGTAACAGCGGGGACAAGACCTTGAGTGAGACCATCAGCTCTCAGGACACAGGAGCACACAGTGATTCTGGTACGGTAACATTCACCTTTTTTTTGCACTACAACACGGAAGCCACACTTGATTTCTAGTGCAAAACTCGGCATACAGTGGTTTATCTTACTGAACATGGATGCAGTTGCATTTGACCAGTAAAGCATAGAAAAGTGCCCATCAGGGCTGCACGGATTCTGGAAAAAGTTTATTGCGATATTTCCCCTGATAAAATTGCAGTTGCAATTTTAAAATTGCAATAATAATTTATTATTATTATTATTATTAAATACAAATATAAAAATTGCTAAATGAAAGTAATTAATAATAATATTTATTATTATTATTATTATTATTATTATTATTATTATTAAATAAATGAACTTTTAAAGGGGTCATTTGATGTTGCTAAAAAGAACATTATTTTGTGTATTTTGTGTAATGAAAAACATTAAAAAACCCATTATAAACGAGGCATTTGTTGCATCCAGTGTGGACATAATTATGGATTATAATGACTTATACTGTCTTTTTACGCGTTGCGTTGCATCGCTCCACGTAAACATAAAACCATGTCTTATGACAACAAAACACACGGCGGGCTAGAGTGAAGAACGGATTCGACGAAGGAGCGGCTGCCGGGCTTGCTTGCGGCAACCACATGTGACGACCCCGGGCTGGACTCCGCTTCGTCCACGGT